ATCGCATCCCTACTAATAACAATAAGCCGATTTTGACTTAAAGTCCCATGATATATTCGTTTTTAAGATTCTAAACAGTTATGGAAATTACCCGAAAACACTATTAGCCAATTAAATACATAAATAAATTCACTATCGTTTCGTGGATACCGTCGCCAGGGAAATTAACGAAATAGAATAAATTACGTTACAAAATATTAGTCTATGAGTTGACATTTTGTTTAAAAATTAAACTGAAACCTAACTTATTACTCATAAATTCTACGAAGTATCTTCACCGTTTCAATTCAAAATGAAATCGAACACGCAAATATTAATTGAACGGATTTTTTCACCAATATACGTCACTATGACAGTTTTGTGCATCGTTTTTGTTTACGTTTTGTAAGTAACCATTAATATTTAATATCAGAAATTTAATAAAAAATACATCGTATGGTAAGTAAAAAGAGTAACTAGTAAGTAGTAGAAATATTATGTGTAAATATCTGACATAAATATTGTACGTGTCTGCGACCGAGATGAGAACGATATTTTATTTATATTTTGCTAGATTTTTATTAGATCGCACACATTATTCGCTGGCGAACAACGTGTAGGTATAAATTCACATGGTGCATTTAAACCTCACAGCCAAATGTAGGTAGAACATCTATAAATAATTATATATTTTTATTTTGGGTGTTTAAACACATTAAACCATACCTAAATCATTTATTTTAGGTGACGTTATTATAGGCGATGTTGAGAGCTTTAAATTGTTTTCACCAACAATCGTTTGTACAAAAGAATGGTGGCTTCGACAAAAAGTGCCCACAATTTGTATTAAAATATTTACTATATATGATATATTATGATACCTTCAATATGTTTTGAAAATACACATAATACATAAATAAAAAATTAAGGACAGCCTTCCTCCTGAATTTTCACCTCCGGAAGCTCTTGACTTCGACATATATATATAAAACGTATAGAATTAAGAATGGTTGGGGATAATGGAGAGAAGCGTCAGGTGACACGAGAATTCCAATGAAACTTAAACGATTAAGTTCTACAAGGTAAAGTGGTGACTGTTGAAATCGGCTATGTTGTATGGTCTGGAGTGTAAGGTGCTATTGATATCAGTTCTTGATACTATGCCTAATTAAAACGAATGCAAATTACAAAAGTTAACATGCAAACACATGCTAAATATTCGCCAAATTTTTTTTGAAAAATCAAATGTGGATGGAAACACGTACATAACGGCCGGTGTATTTGATGTGGGACATCGGGTCGGTCAAAAATATATAAACATATAATATGCTTTAAGGTGTATGTCCTGACAGATTCTTCGTCCCACGGCCTGTATTGTTGAGTCTATAAACTCGAAACAGAGGTTTCTTATAATTTATAAAATAATATGCAGGGAAAATACTAATATAGAAAAATTGTTTGGGAATTTGAAGGCCTGAGAGTGCTCAAGCATAACATTTTTGGTTTTTACAGAATTTATTGTACTTACCAGTTATTTACGGGTTTTATGATTTATTTCAGAAACATTGTGGAAATCATTTCGATACCCATCACGGCAATGCAGTTAAATAGAAATAAAAGCTCGCAACTGAATAATTTGCCCGGAAATCCAGTTGTTCCGGTCAGTAGTGCATTTTACTAAATCAAATTTATAGTACTTAAACAAATCAAATTTTGGAAAGATAATACCTGATGCGTGATAACAAAAACGCGTTTTAAAATTAAGTGATTCGTTGGACGAACCGTTTTTAAACTAAAAATCAGTACATATTACTATAGTAGAATTACCCGGTATTTCCCGGGTTCATCACGGTTGTTGCCCGGTAATTTCTTTTAAAGGGGATACTTGTATGTGACATCCAAATAACATACCTGATAACTGGGTTTTTTTTTTTTTTTATCATCAGTTATCGTAAAATTAAAAGAAAAAAAAATTACATTTTCGTTCCGAAAATATCAAAAACCCCGTGTCGGCCACTCTTTAGGTGTTGAATTTCGAGATGAAAATCGATAGAAGGACGGCGATCCACTTGTTAATAAATGTAGATCGTACAAATAGGTTCTTGGAGAATGGAATAAAACGGTAGGTTTTTATAGCGGACAGACAGACGGACATACATACGGATAGAATTTAAATTTTACAAAAAAATAACATAGCGCGAGCGTTTAAATTTCTAAAACGGCTTTTGCGTGCGTTGACGCGTTGTTCACTCATCGTCTATTGCATTATTATACTTTATATTCTTTCCGTATTAGCGCACAGCAAACCTGTATTGTTATCGATGCGTCTCTATCTATAGACGACCGGGAGAAAACGATATCGAAACCGAAACTTCATTTCGTTTCAATTTACGAAAGAATCCGAATAAAATAATAATAATATTATTATCACGTACACCAATCGTCTAGATGCGCAGCATAAGTACGACTTTTTTTTTCCTCGCACGGCCCAGGCCTATTACACATTATATTATCATAATAACACAGAGCGATCAACTTAACGTACGACGTCCGCATTATCTCGGAATTTTTTTTTTTTTTTTCAGAGAATTTAAGAAACTAGCGTTGCTGAAAATGTTACATTACCCAACATTTCACGTCAGCCTTATTTTCGGCGGCCAAACCAATGCCACGCATATCCACTTTAGGTTTTCAAATAGCGAATTATATTAAAAAATTCCGCAGATACACGAAGTTTTTTCATTTAAATACATTTCGCCATCGCCGCGTTTATTTATTCCCAACGACCCGTCGACGGGATATTCTTACGATTCAAAACCGCCGTTTTGTTGGTATAGGTGCAGGTCTGAGGATGACGTGTAATGCAGAGCTTAAGTTTCTTAAGTGGCTTCTTAAGTTTTCAAAAAAAAAAAAAAATTCCGAAAAAATCTAATACTTTCCGACATAATGTGCACGTCTTACGTTATGCTGACCATCACTCTGTATAATCGTCGATAATTTGCGAAGTAGGTATTATATCGAATGCGGACCATCGTAAAAAAAAAAAAAAAAAAAAAAAAAAAACCATCTATTTAAACGAAAACTAAATTATTTAAGCGGTACAACGTAGACTAATAAGGCGAGCGTACAAAGTGTTTTAAAAACCGAAAACCTATTGACCGTATATACGTTACGTGTACAATCAGCCGAAACGTCGAATTTTGTTACGCATAGTACTGTATAGTATCTACACATATAGGTACCCATACATAAACGACCGGACAAAGAGATTACAATACAACACTACGTATAGGTATGCTAATTTCCGTGTCGACGAAAATTACAAGGTAGATAATATAATGTATACAGCAACAAAAAAATAAAACATAAATGGCAATCGCACGGTACTATAACAATTAGCTCGCACGAGGTGTTCCTATTTTCCTAAACGTATTCAACACGCATAGCTGTATACGACGGGATGCTATAAAATTTTGGACGTCTTGCGTTTGGACGGATCACCTTTTTTCCCCCGCACAATAAAAACAGCGTGTTTGGGCGAGTTTCTCGCAATGTGAGCGAGTGCGATAAGTACAGTGTAATATATAAACAATACAAGTGTGAACAACACGTCACACTGAAAATGCCGCAGAATATATCTGCGTATAATATTTCACGGTTAGTTTTTATGTACAATCTTATCTGACCGATTGTACATAAAAACTAATTATGAAATATTATACGCAGATATTCTTTGACATTTTTATAAAGATAAAAAAATATGATATGTGTTGTGTTCAGTCAGATAAGATAACAACAATTTCGATATCCTTGTAACAATATTATATTTATCTAAGCTTAATAGTTATAGTTTTTCAAATACCGGGTTCGCTCGAACATAGGAAACGTGAACTCGTTATAGTGTTTTAGTAATTATAGTACATCGTACTAGTTGACAGTTATTGATTATTACTAGTCGTGTACCAAATATTGATCATAACATCGAAATCGATTTTACGACAAAACGGAATAACGGTTCATTTCGATTGAAAATATTTAAACATACTCGTGGAATTTATCAGCAGTCCCAAGTCTATCAAAATGATAGGGAAAATAGATCGCTAAAAATCGCCCAAACCCATAACAATATTTTAAAATCACTAGCTCAAACGCATTGTCGAAAATTGCCCAAACATTATGCAATTTCTACGAACTTTGAATTCACGCCAAAAGTGATGTTTTTAAACTAGGTAAATTTTTAAAAAATCACAAGTAATGAAAAAAAGCTAATTTTTCAATTAGACAATATGTTGACAACCCCCGTAATTATTTTTGAAAAAAAAAAACAATAACGATCGGAGCTAAAAAAAGTGACATAAGAATGCGCCTACAATATGACTAAATAATACCTAAATAATATTTTATGCTACGTTTTAACACGCGGTATGCCCTAAAAATATACACAAATAGCGAATAAAATTGAATTTATTATTCTTTTATATTAGTAACTTTTATTCATCCTACATTTAATTTATCGACGGGTCACTACGCCAGCCCATGATATCCATAAAAGTCGATTAAAATATTTTTTTTTTTTTTAAAGAAACCGAAATGTGAATACCTATATTCTATTACTTCGTACCGATTTACCGGTTTTTCTGTTGCTTCCATTCAATTTAAACGAGATATTTCAGCAATGTTATTTGCAAAAAATATCACGAAAGCGCGGAAAATATAACCCTAAAAGTAAAAAAGGCTTCAAATATGCAAAATTAAGTAGTCCATGATGTGCACAGAACAATTGTATAGCTGAGCGGTTCCCAAAATTTTTTCATTCAAGACTCCCTAATAAAAAAAATCATTTTTTCACGTCTCCCGCAAAGAATATTTAATAAAATAGGCTAACAATTATTTAATATTTATTAGATAACAGTAAAATTATTATTTTATAAAATTAATGCGAACAATGCGCTTGTTTTTTGTTTATTAGTTTTTCAAAATTAGGAATTAACGTAGTTACTGTAACACGCATTTCTTTTTCCATGTCGAGTCTGGACCGATATTTTGATTTTAATACGGCTACTGCTGAAAATCCTGCTTCACACAAATACGATGTGGGAAATGGTAGTAATATACGTAAAAATCCAAATCCTAAAAGTGAATATGAAGAAAAATGCATTCGTAGTGAAGAATCGGATGGATAAGATAAGATAATCGTTTTTATACAATCGTTATCGGACACATAATTGATCTAAAAATAACTATATGTACAAAATTCCAACCGCGCGCCGCGCCTCCCTTGTCAAGCGCTCGCGTCTCTTTTAGGTGGAAACCGCTGGTATAGCTCACTCTGCTATTTTTATCGGTATCTACCTGACAAATTATAATGATCAGCAATTAATGTTACAGAATCCAAGATCTGCTCGTAATAATAATGTCTCTAATCTCGGGGTTCTGATATGGACACAAATCGATTGAAAATATTGAAATATGTATCGCGTGCAATGTGTTGACATGCGACCAGACCGCGTTACCAAAATCTTATTATTCTCGGACTGTAGTTGGCAAAACTGTTTTGTCACCCATTATGCGTTTTGTCTGTTTTGGAAACGATTTATTGTTTGATCTCAACACCTTCAATATAACTGATCTCAGAACAGGAAACCCACTATCCCGGTTGTAAAATATAACTTGCGCTTCGCAATCTCGTTTACGCCGCGAAGCATTCGGTAACTATCGACCGATATGATCGGACAAAACACATCTGCAGTCGAGTTCAGTATTATCTAGTGTAATATTTTAATACACCGTAGAATATGGTGGTGTTATACATTTTTTTAAAATTGATTATTTAATGTTTTCTGATAGAAAATGAAAACGTACTGGTAAAATATCGCATTAGACATAATGCACACTGTCAGCCATTCAAATAAATCACGCACGAACCCGTGTCAGTATAGTAATTTTACCTTTGACAAAATAGTTTATTTCACACAAATTAATTTGTTTTTCTTCAAACAAATAATGGAAACAGTCACGCCGAAATTTCCTAGACCGAGCTGCAATACATCTGGTCAAATTATTCCGATTAACAAAACTTTTCATTATTTGTTTGAAGAAAAACAAATTAGTTTGTTTGGGATAAACTGCTTTGTCAAAGGTAAATTAGCTATACTGATACGGGGTCGTGCGTGATTTATTTGAATAATAATATCTGAACTAACGTGGGCGCTAACTTCGGTCTTTGACATTTCGGCGTAAAACAAATTTTAATTTAACTAGTTTACCGTTATTAACATTTTTTGTCTTTTTAAAATTTAACTTATAGGTAGTAAATAAATAACAGTAATAATGAAATGAAAATTATAATCGATCTACATATTGTTTGTAAATATAAAAATGATTGCTTTTGAATTGTTTTGATTGAATTTCTCATAAATAGAATTATTATCGATTTTGTATTTTGATGACTGCAATATTGTTTTCAATTTTAGCCGTTTCGTTAGAACGTTCAAAAGTGGTTAGTTTAGTTTAGGTTAATATAACAACCATGTTCATAAAAACACGGACAATTAAAACATTATATTTCACGTCGAGATGTTCATACGCCCAAATGGTTTTCATGCCGAAATGGTACCACGCCGAAATATCTGGGTCCGATTGCAGCTGGCTTCATTACGTAAATGAAAAATAAGTTGTTTTAACGCTACGTTTTTGCTTTAGCTAGTCTAACCAAAAAAAAACTACATTCACGAGATGCATTTATTTTGACTGGTTTTCAAGATTAGAAAAAATAACCATTTAAAGGTAAAAAGGTCACTTTGTCCTCCTTACTCTTCCTCACCTACCCCACCAAAACAATAATATTTATTAACATTTTCTTACTGTTGAAGACTGCGTATATTGTTAAGTGTTTAGTTATTCTTATTGCATATTTCTATCACATATATTTATAATATCAATTTTCGCGTCTTACAAAATCAAATTTCTAGATCATAAAAATCATATAATGTGATTGTAAACGATTTTTGATTTAAAACTCAGATTACGACAAACACGTGTATTTAAGGTATACGATTATTGTAATATGTTATTATTAATAAAACGCTGTCACATTAGTCAAAAAAACTCATATGAATTTTAAACTGTTATTACTGCTGTCTATTTAAAATAATATTTGTAGACAGAAGATAAATTCTATAGCCATTAACCACCGTCACCACCATCCCGAAAATATGAGTGAACATGACCAGACCAGAATTCCTTTTTCGACGCCACCGAATATTTATGCTTTTCATAATGGGTATGCAGTGTTTTGATCGGGAATCAATTCGAACCATTTTTCTTGGACCGGGGAATCTATATACAATACCGTTAACAAATCGGCCATCACAAAATGCAACATCTGTGGTCGTTTGTCGGTTCGAGTTCAAACTAAATACCGTGTGAAATATGGGTGTTTTTATGAGTACCTACTACATTAACTATTGTACATAATGTATAATTAGGTTAGGTTTGTTAGCCCCGCGCCGTACAGCGGACCGAAATGAAAATTAGCTCGTATGAATTTATACCTCCTTCATTTTAAATAATTTTTTTTTTTAAAAAAATTGTACAATTAATTTATACATAATGAGAGTTTTACAAATATCTATTTTTTTTTTTTTTTTTTCTTTTTGACAACTTTTCTACCAGAAGACTTGTTCCAATTTTTACGTGTAGCACTTTTTTTGAAAGTAAATTAGTGTGGAGAAGTACTTTAAAGAGGTTGTTTTTCGATTTTTTCCGGAGTTTTCTCAACAAATGTGAAAAACCGAAAAAAAAAATATAAGAAATGTAGGTATTAGTTAAAATTATTACGGCTATTTTTTTTTGGGTGGACAACTTTTCTACCAGCAGTTTTGCTCCAACTTTTAATGATAGCAATTTTTCTAAAAGTTAAGTTCTCTGTGGAGCTACTTTAGAGAGGTCGTTTTTCGATTTTTTCCGGAATTTTCTTAGTAAATGTGAAAAACATGGAAAACTAGGAAAAGCGTAGGAAAACCGGGGAAATCGGTACAATATTAAACAAAAAATTATAGAACCTATTTAATTATTTTACTATACTGTAGCACATATATTGTTGACAAATTATCACTATCAACTCAACTCTGCTCAGAATCGTTTTTTCGTGAGCAATGGTTTATCGTTATTTACAGGTAAATATTAAACACCTAAAACAGTGGCTGCTCCCTTCTCCATTATCCTAGGACGTCTTTTTTAATATTTTTATTCATATTTAGTTTATATTAAAGCTACGTGTTATTATTGTTAGTTACCGCAAAATATTTCAGAAATCCTTTACGCTTCTGCCTGTTTAGTTATATCCAATATACAAGCGTAAAGTTTTTTTGAATTGACAATTATTGCAATAATAACATCGCTGAGCTTTTTTATTTTCAAAATGTCCATAAAATATTAATACTTAAAGCTTTAGTCATTTGTCATGCTTATTACTTCTAATAGGTAATTTAATAGCTTATAATTTATTAGAAACTAATCAATTTTTTTTAATAAAAAATATAAACTTTATTCTAGACCAATTATCAAAGGAAGCTCACGAGTAAAAAAGTAGTATTTCAAGTATTAAAAAATAAACTCATTCTAAGAAGAACTCAAGAATAAATACAATGAAGATCTTGCACATTAACTTCAAGATAATGTATCCATCTGTCTATATAAAACCACAAAAAAAATAAAATTCAAGAATTCTCAAATGAAGTACAATCTCTCTCGCAATTTGGGCGTATTCTTCCTTATGATCATGCCAATAGTGGTCGAATAACAATAATTCAATTATTTTTGGTGCTTTTTGGTTTTTTCATGTATTTTTTGAAAAGAATATAGCTTACGGAATTTTAAATGTGTTACGAGTTTTAAGATCTTATATTTTTACGGGCATTCATTTAGTTTTTAAATTCTAAGTGGAGTGGAGAAGCTTATGGTTTTACAAAAATGTTTGTTTTGAATTTATTTTTTTTTTTCTTTGAACAATTTTTCTACCAGCAATTTTGCTCAGATTTACAATGATAGCACTTTTTCTGAAAGGAAATCTGACTGGGAAAGTACTTTAATGAGGTCATTTTTTGATTTTCCCAGGAATTTTTCAAATGTAAAAAACTGGGAAAAAACATGGGAAAATCATAGAAAAACGGGAAAATCGGATCAATATTAAACAATTATTATTAAATTAATATGTAATGCCTATTCAATTACTTTACCATAATTTGGCATATATATATATATATATATATTATTGACGAAGCATCACTATCAACTGAAGTTCGTCCAGAATCGTTTTTTCGTTATCAAAGGTTTATCATTGTCTACATTTATGCGATAAATTCTCTGCTGTATCCTATCTTCCTAACTTTCCACCTACAACAATGGCTGCACCCGTCCCCATTAACCTAGGACAGGTTTTTTTTATACATATTTAATAATTATTATTCGCGCACTAAATACCCGTGATTGTGAGTCAAGTAGAAGATCATATAATACCGAGATTAATATACGATTGGCTGAAATCCCGCTGGGCTCGCGTGGTATAAATGCGAAGAGGACTCGAGATCGTCAATAATAATAATAATAATATTATAGAGTACAATAACAATATTTATACGGGTCACTTTGCATGTACGATACACGCGATACCCGATGACTCTGCGTGATAACAGTATCACGTTAGCTGTACACCTATAATGTATGTTATAATGTTATTATTGTAACCGTGCAGCTGATGGGCTCATGAGCCCCCGCGCCGTCGTTTAATATTGTTGTCCGCGTGCATTATTACGGCAAGTGTCGAAGAATATATACGAAAAAAAAAAAAAACTATCGATTTCTACTATTATTTACTCGTATATAATATTATTGCCATCGTTGATATATTGTTTAAACATTGTTTTCGCCACCCCGAATGAACGCACGCACACGCGCGAGTGCGCAAAATAATGGTTAATATACGCGGGGAACAAAAAAAAAAAAAAAAAGTGAAAATATAAAAATAAAAGAGGGTCTTAACGGAGTATGGTTTTTTGTGACATTTTTATCAGTCGGCCGCCATCCCCTTCATTGCGGACCGGACTCGTGAGACTCAAAAGTCAGGGTAGACTTTTTTTGTTATTATTTATATACACAAATATATATATATATATAGTGTGTT